TATATATATATATATATATATATATATATATCTGTGTCTGTGTATATTTCTTGTACCTGATGATGACAAAACCTTGTCGAAATGATGTACATTTGCTGTTTTGTTAAACTTATATTAAAGCTTTTCTTCATTACCTATTCAAGCTGTCTCCAGGCATTATTATAACTCTGATAGACTTGTCTTCAAAACTATTATTTGACCTGTTATCCTCTAAATCTTTTCTCTGGTTATCCTATCAATTTGCTTATTCACGGTTTCTCCCCTATCACTTAGCATGCTTATTTTATACTATCTTGCTTGAATTGAACCCATTTTTAGTATACAGTTCTCCTTTACCCTAAAAACAAATCTTGCTGACAAACATACACACAGGGGCAAAGGCATAACCTCCATCCACCTTCAGTGGTGGAGGTAAAAAAGTTCTCTGAGTGAATTAAATTACATGGAATGTGTTATGTTGTGATATTCATGTTCACTAAAACACTGATGCATAACAGAAAAGCCAAATGTTTTTCCAAAAATACTGTTTCAGGACTTAAGGGAAGAATTAATCAAATATTGACAGTAGAGGAAAAAAGTGAACACCAGTGTACTTTGAAATATGAAATAGTTTTTTGACAACACAGTATTATGTTATCAAAACTGGCTGAATTTCTTTCTTGTATAATCATGGAAGGCAAGTATTGTCAAAAAACAGGAGCAAGAAAGAGAGCTCTGGAAATACCTGACTTGAACACTAAAGTAAAACAAAGCATTACTAATCTATCCCACAAGTCCACAGGTTGCACACTTCAACCAGTGGCTTACATGCAATCATTAGCTAAGCCAGTTGTATAAGAATCTGCATTGTTTGTTTGATAAGCTACCTTTCAAGGTGTTTGTACAGAAAAATGCATGCTAGCATGAGACTTAACAAAAGTTGCAGCTGGTAGACTTTACTTGTGTAAGAAGGTTAGAATATGTTTATAGACTTGTGACATCCAAATAATGGAAATGTTATAACTAAGTGTAGAAATTGCATGGAAGTTAAGAAAAATATTACATGAATATACCAAAATAAAGGTATATTCTTAACTAATTATGAAAGGGTAAAATTAAATAAATATACACTTATGACTCCTGTTAACTTGTTCAGTTCTTCATAACATCTGTGTGTTTAGTTGTAGCTACATGTAGTATAATGTTTACGTTAGCTGTTTAAGTAGGTGGTGATATACTTAAGCAAGATTGCATCATGTAGATAGGTATGTTTATTTGTGTTATTGAATTTTTCTAGTTTCACTGTAATATCTGTTTGTATTTTCAACAAATGGACTTTGCAAAGAAATTATATACCATGAAGTGAGTGAAAGAAGTTTTGCATAGTAAGACTGAAAAGCAGTTAAAAATTTCTAAAAGTCCTATCTTTAACTTATAAATTATCTAAACATTTTGTTGTAATGATGTTTTAATTTTTATTCTTGTGTCATTTAATTAAAAAGGAAATGGATATAAATAAGTTTATTTTTACATTTAGGAATGTGTATGTAAAAGTTTTGTTCTCCTTGTCTCGAAGACAAGAAATATGAAAGCAGTGCACAGTACAGTTGTTCCTTATATAAAGAGTGCTCAAGGAATTCTCTATCAGACAGGTATTTATTTACTATCATATTGGCATTATAGCCAAAACCATCTTTTCTTAAATTGTAATAATTTTCTTACAGTCATGACGTTGTTTAAATTTTTAAAGGAGCATACTTTTGAGATTATAAAAATTTGTTACATGTACAGATTTGCTATTTGTGTGCAAGTACTATTGTAGCTCTTAAAACTTAAGGATTTGTAGAGTTTTTAATTTTTTTATTCTTATTTATCTGTTTGTGAGATGCCAGGAGAGAGGTTAAGTTGTCTGTACTGAGGTTAATTTTTTTTCTAAGCTTGTGATTTATGATTTTTATCTATATTTGTAAATATTCGATTGATACTTTTTTACCTCATATAAGCAATCTTTTGGTATTCCTGTAACTAGTTGTGTATCATGTGTTACAAACTCATTGTGAGACAGTAAAGATTAAACTATTATGAATTTTTAATAGTAACTTGTAGTAGGGCAAAATTCAGGAAAATTAGTCTGTTGGAAATTATCCTTAGAAGATATAAAAAAAATGTTAAAATTTCAGAAACATATTATGATTTGCACTACTATAATAAACACATGATTTTTTACATGTATGAATTATAATATGAACACATGCATGCACATACAAAATTAAAGGGTCACCTGAATTTTGAGTTACCAGATGGATGACCCCTGGTTTGTTGTGTCTAATGCACAAATGTTTCTTATATTTGCTTAAACTTACAACACAATTAGAATCTTATAACTTAACAAGAGAAGACGTCACATTAAACCCTCTAATTATGAATAGCACTGTAAAATTGTGTGATGATAATTAGATCAGGCTCAGCACAAATAATTTTTTGATGGACTAGACATAAAAATATATATACAGATTTTAAATCACTGCAGTTATTTTCCTTAATTGATTAAACGTATCTACATGTAGATATATAAAAATAAACTGTTGTGTTGTATTTGTACATCTGTAGGCCTCTATGTACAACTATGATTGAACCATTTTCTATATTTATTATAATAGATTAGCTCATAGCATGGTCAGCATACCCACAGGATTCTGTCTACTTGTACTTTTCTCTAGGTGGGGTTGACTTGTACTAAGCATCAAGAAGTATAATTTCGCAGTTCATTTATGAAGTGTTATATTGTGTAAATATGTTAACCTGTAGATAAGTTACTTAATGCTTTTTTTACTGGTTTTTGTTTTTTACCAGGCTTTAGTCAGAGTTTTTCTGGAAGCGAAACTGATCTGTCAACTTCTAACGAAAATCTTACAGCAGAAGAGAAGAATGTTCTTCGCAGTGGTGTTCGACAAGAACCACAAGGCGAAGAGACTTTGACTGATGACATGGATATTACCTCATCTAATACACTCATTATAAGAAATAATAGCTCTATTGATGGTTTTACATCTCCATTTTATGCCAAAACCAGTTGGGGTAATAGTAGTGATACTGGTACTGTAAAAAGAAATCTACAGGTTGAAGGATCTAGTCAGTTTGTGACTACAACACAAAGTAAAATCTTAGAAAGGAATCCACAATTAAAAAGAAATACAAACTGTGGAAGCACACCTCCATTTATAAAGAACAGTGAAGCCAGTGTTCCACTTTCTCCAAAAAATTCATCTTGTCAAATATCTTACCCAACTTACCTTCATAATATGCAAGTACCAGGCTCTCCAAAGCAGTATCACAATCCATTTCCTGGCAATTCTCCAACATCTTCCATCACCACAACAAGTATGTATACAAATGTTCATGCTTCGCCTCATGGGAGTCAATCAATTTATGAACTTCCTGTTCAGGAGCTGACAGAAATTCCTAAGCATTACCTAGATCAGTCTGAAGTTTTAAAACACTTGGCTAAAGAAGTACATCATCAACAGGTACCACTCAATTTATGTAACCTTCCACCACCACCACAGTACTCAAAGTGGAATATGAGAAACATGCAAGAGGTAATTGATTCAGAAATATCTTCCCTGGGCCTTCCTCCCACAAGAGGTGGAACTATAAGTGAAAAGCCTGGTGACAGGATATCAATATCCAGATCTCATCCAGATTTAACCCATATAGGAGGATCAAGTAAAATAGAAAATCTAGGAGTTAAGATGGTATTGACAAATGAAAGGTATGTATATAATTCTTGTTCAAACAAAAATTAAATAATTTTAAGATAATCAGGACTGCCATAATAGAATAATTTGAAGACACTTGTGAATCATTGAAATACCTACACTTTAAAAAGTTTCTGTGAAAAACAAATGCCTTCTTAGACACTAGTACAGCAATGTGTACTTTAGAAGCACCTAAAACTGTCTGTAGGAAAAGAAATAAATAGTCTTCAATTTTTGGGATATTCTTATTGACATGAAGCTTTTCACATTTAACATTTTATGAAATACTCATCAGAATTCTATAAAACATATTTATTAGAAGTTACTATTTATCATGTTGAGCTTCAAAATGAAAAATAATGTTTAATAGTGAACAATAGATACAAGAGATTAAGAGGTCTGCTTTGTTTCTTGTCAAGTTCAAATGGTAGAAATGTAAGCCTGTTTGGTAGCTACTCTAAGAAGGAATGAAAAATAGTACTTGAAATTATAAATGTAATCAGCATTTCCATCATTTATTTTTTAGCTAAGGTTACAGTTTCTTATTTTTTATCCATTTAGGTTTGAATTTGAATTCTAGTTTATTGTTGTAGTTATTCATTTATACAGTAATGGAAATCAATGTGCATATAAAGAATAGATAATAAAGAATCAACAGTGAATCATAATGTTTTTAAAGAGGAGCCATTATACTGAGAATTGTTAATGATAAATGATTAGAAATCAGGTAAAGAACATTGGATCTTATACCCTAGTTGTTCTAAGCTTTATGTGATTTAAGTCGGTTGTAACTTTTTGTTTTTAAACCAAGCAAGAAGTATAAGCTTTCTGGTGATAGAAGACATGATAGACTACCAGGCAGTTCTTGTGGTTTGAAATATTTTTCAAGTCAATAGTTAGGTTATCATAAATACATTTCAACTTCTGACAAACATAAGTTGACTGTTAGTCATATCCCAGCACTTTGCTTAGATGATAAATGATTAAAAGTATAATGTTAATTGCATAATTTTTTTTTCCAAGCAAACTGTTCTTGAACCTGATATGTTTCACGTGGTACTTGAAGCCAAACTATTCTTTTAAACAGACCTAAGACAAGGGGTCGTGCAACAGTAGAAGTTGATTCAGAACATTTTCCTTCTCAGGCAGCACAATTGATTGATTTACTCTCTCATGAAAATGATGCCTTGAAAAGTGAATTGGGCATGTATTATAAGAAGGTCTCCAAACTGCAAAAGGTAGAGGCACACAGTTCTATCCCCCTTTTTTAAAAATTTTTAATGAGTGAATGAAAGAAATATGAAGTGGAATTGCATATCATTAGGATTGTAAATTCATAACAGGACATGTTTATAAAGATTTTTATTGTAACTGAAACTAGTATTGGACTGAATTGTCATCATTTTGGATTATGAAATGTTTTCATAATCTAGAAATTTCAGAGTATTGATGTTTATCAGTGTGTGTTTGAATATATTGATACAAAGATCTAACAGACTAATGATAATTATCACTTGGATGTGGCTGTGATAAATTCATGATAATAATGAGTAAGATTTTTCTTAGTATTTGAAATGTCAATTTGGCTTCCAGAAACACTCTGGCTAAAGCATAGTAAAAACAAAAATCAGTAAATAATAATAAATATTAATTTTCCTTGGCCAACTGGCTTCTGATAGTAATTACATTGGTGAATCATATTTGCCATGCTCTTCAGTATAGGAATGTGTATTCACACTTGATTTGAGTGCATTCAAGCCAATTACTTAATAAAACAACTAAAAAAAGATTACAATCAATTGTGCTAAAAACAACTTTAAAACATTTTACAATTAATTGTGCTATAAATTATGATTATTACCAAAAATACATAAGTATTGTTATATTTTATATCTTTTTTAAAAAAATTTATTTATACTGTGCCTGTGGCCAAGGCTTAGGAGTAAAAAAAAATTAGTTTTATTACTGTTTTATAATAGTCTCATTATTACTTAATTAGTTAAAACAGTAAATATAATTCATTGCTAAGAATAACAAAAATGGCAAGAATTATTTTTTAAAATGAATGAGTCATACACAGTATTTTTATTCATTCAACATTGGATGACATTTAATTACAGAATTATGTTTGTAATAATTTCTTTTTACTGTTCGCCTGAACTCTGATATCATTAGTGGTTTTTGTTCTGTACTTAGAAAATGATGTTGAAACAGATTTTATGTTTTTGTTGTCTAATTTTGGAACATCAAAAGCTTCTAGGAAAATAACTGCTATAAATTTAAACTTGTGGTTGTTATGATAGTGATAATTTCCACTAAAATCCTGTATGGACTTAGAGATTGAACAAAATTTTCCCCAAAATTCAATATATGTAATACTGTGTTAAAAATGAACATCTTTTGTTCCTACTTGAATAATGTTATAAGAATTTTGATTAAAACTGCAGTCGGATTTCTTATAAGTTAATATTTAATTTTGGTAGTTTGAATTGGAGATTCAGAAAGTCCATCAATCTCATGAAGAACTAGTGCGTTCATCAGAAAAAAGAGAGAAACTGGAACGGGCAATTAGAACCCATCTGGAAATGGAAATTCGACGTCAGCAAGAAAATAATAGAGAGCTGAAAGGTAAACTTTTTAATTATTTAAGATGAAATTCTACACAGTATACAGACTTATCACAAAAAAAATTATATTGGTGATTTTTATGAGCAGTTGTTATTCAAAGTTTGAGTTTGATCACAAAATGTTTGGGGCTTTTTCATGCTGTCATGTCTTAGGCTTGAAATGTTTGAGGAACACACAAAATGAACCAGAACTGAGTGTCACTTAACTGGTGTCTTATTTTTGAGTCAAGACATCGAAATCAAGTTAGTGAATTCCAAAAAAGAATTCTTGTTTTGTTTTTATATGTTCATTAGTTCTTTATACATTCATAAAATACTAATTTGGTATTATTGCCTTAGGGAGGTTTAGTTTTCACATTTATTGCCTCTTATAATCCTAATTGTCAGTGACTTTGTGAATCATAAGCAAGTCACAGGTGAGGTTAGAGTGGAAAGATTACTATAATATGCTGAGTTGATTTGATGGTATAAGTGATTAGGTTGGTTGATTAATGAATATATATGTAGGCTTTATCTAATAAATTAAACTGGTCATTGTCATATGATGATTCAGTTTCTTCTTTGAAATTTCAAAAGACAACCAAAACAAAAGCCAGATTAGTATTTAACACCTTAGCCATTATATTAATACTTAAGAGCAATCTTTAATAACATTTACAGAGGTTGAGTACTTATATTACAATGATTTCGTAGCCTCACCATGTCATTACAGTTTCTGTTGTCACATCCAGTCATGCTTTATCCAATGATCATGAAATTTGGCAATAGCCCTGCATTGTGGTTTCATTGCAAAAGGCTCTGTTTTAAGGCTATCATGTGCAAAACACATCAGTCCTCCCTGAAGGCTTTATATATGCCATCTGTTGTATGAGGAAGCCTCTAAACAGTCTAATCACACAGAAATCCATAGGTGCTTCATCCTGTAATTTCATCAGTATATCTTTGTATGGAAAGTATGAATACTAATCTCATTACCCAGATGCTTGAGGTATGTGTGACAGTTGAATGAATATGTCATGGAAGCAACTTTTTTTGCTTTTCCAAACAGAAATCCATGATGATCATGTTATGCACTGTTACCTTTGTGAATTTTCACTGTTACAAAATGATGCACTTTGCTTACTATGTCTATGGTATTACTTGTTGCAGGTCTCTTTCTGAATGGTTTTAGTATCCCAAGTTGATCCATCTTCATTTGTTTTCCAATATTATTAAGTATGTAGGATACTCCCATCCTAGAAATTCAAAATTCCTGATCTGAACACATCTTTATGATCTCAGTTTGTGAATATTTTTCATCAGAAAGGGCTGTAAGATACCTTTCTGAAAAGATTCAGTTTTTGTGTGACATCACACTACCCCAACAATTTCTTATACATGTACTTAATATTAACTATAGTTGCTGACCCATATAGGGTCAATTATTATATTACGACAATAATGCATTGATGCAAGGCAACATTGTGACACACCAATGCTTATAAGTGGCAACAACATGCTGATTGTGATTTCTACAAAAAGCTTAACCAATGATTCTTATATGGTAATACTTACAGGTTTCCTCAACCATTATTAGAAATTATACATAGAAAGCATAGTAAAAATTATTGTGATAACTATTAAAAAAGAAAGACTAAAGATTTTAGCAACGTTAACAGTAAAACAAATATATATCTAAAAGTCTGTATTGTGAAGTCATTGTCCACTGAAACTTAAAACTCTCATCACAGTTAATTCAAGATTATTGTAATACTTATTCATAGTGTAACCCTAAAAAAATGTTTAAGCACAAGGTCACATAATGAGATATCTGTGCTGTTTCCATTATTTTTAGTGTTATAAGCTTTTAAGTTTCCCACTGAGCCGGTGGGGAGCAAGAATACATAGATGGTTGAATATTTTATATTAAAACAGTTTGGAATATGCAAGTCAGTAAGTAGCATGAAGAGCTTCATTCAAGTGTCATGTGCATGCCAGCATGTAAAATTAAAACATTTAAATTAAAAATGATTAAAATACAGTTAAAATTATCTTGAAAATTTATTTTGGCTAAAAATGAAGCTCACCCTTACAAATTAGCTGTAACCAGCATTTAAGCAAGATTCAGTGGAGCAGATTATAATTTTCAAGGTAGTGTTTTCTTTTCTATAAAGTAAATATATTTTCTTGTTAGTTTCATATTTATTCACAATCCTTATTTTTTCCAGGACAGTTAGAAGCTGCCACATCACAATTAACAAAGAGATCAGTAAGTTTTTTGTTGTTAGTTTATTACTTTGTTTAAAGATTATCCCTAGTTCTACTTCAGTATGGTGCACCTGGAAACAGATTAATTCACTTTGTGCTTTGTAGCACAACTATCAGAAGTCACATGTTTCACAATTATAAACGTGATTTTGTATTTAAGTAGAAATGTAAAGAACACAATCATATAGGTTTGTTGTGAATGGACAACAGACACTATGGAGTTCTTTTTATTAATTTATGTTTTTGGATATGTTATAGCTGACAGACCATGATGATTCAGAACTGCAAAACAAACTTAGTAGGAAAGATATGACTATAACCCAACTTCTCAGTCAGAGTAAGTGCAGTGATCAATTTATTAGGTGAATCTGTGTAAATAGGAAAGTTATTGTTTTCTCTATGTTTTAACACAAATTGAATGACAATGAGTTAAGGAGCAGATGATACTAAATTTTAGGACCCAAGGCACCCCAACATTGTATTCGAGAAAGGATTATAGTCGATGGTGTTACAATGAGGCAGTACTGTATATCTAAGTCAAAGAAAGTTAATAATTGAATGAAATATTATGGTTTTGAGAAAAACCATGATCCTACAAAAGTAATGCTTTATGCAGAATAATGGTTTTCTCAATGATTAGAGGTAATAATAATTTTTGTATTGTATCATAAGTTGAAAACCACAAAAGATGTTGATCTTTCAGGCTTCTTATATTAACTAAGTACCTGAAATGAAGATAAACATAAACGTTTTTACAAAAATGATCCCCTATGTTTAATGAACATAGAGATAAAGGAATGCACATAAAATGCTTTATTCAAATTGATTTGTACTAGCTATTTCCACATTAAGAAATTATAAAAAAAAACTACAGCTCTGATTTGTTCAGGCTAATTTGTATTTAGAGAAGGCTTAAAAATCTATTTAAAAAATTGTCTTGAAAACTACATTGGTATTTAGTCCATCTCAAATTTTGACTCTAAAATTATCAAAAATTGTTTTAATAAATACTTGTAGTATCTTAGATATCTTGAACCTTTCAAAACATTTATCAACTGATATTAAATTGTAACTGAATGAATCACTATTTTTATTCCTTGAGTAAATCATTATTTTGCCTATATTAGTTAAAGAAACCTTGTTTTTCTTTAATTATTGGATGAAAATCAAATTAATATCTACATTTAGAACTA